GTCCTGCTGCTGTGTGTCCTTCTGCCTGCAGACGTTACCTCCGCGTTGACATGGAGGTTAATGGGAGTGGCCTTTGAAACTGTCTCCCTTGAGCCCTTTCCAGTTATGCCCATAGATTCAAATGGCTTTGCCTTTCAGAAGTATTGTTGGTAGTTTCGGCAGTTGGTGGAAGTAGTTTCAGAAGTAGGGCAGGAGTGTTTTAAATGTGAAGTACGATTAAAAGGGAGCACCTGGTCTTAGCTCATTCCTTTCATTCAAATCCTGTCTATAAACATCAGCCAGGCGTCTTGCACCAGCAGCACCACCTGCCCGTTGGTGAGCAGGGCTAGGAGCAGTGCAGACACACCAGCAGCAGAGCTCAGGTAGGGGCAGTGGGCCCAGGGCTGGGCTCAGAGGGGCTCCTGGGCGCGAGGTGCTGAGTGGCTCTTGCTTGGGGAGTGAGGGCTGGCTCTTGTCCAGTTGACAGACCTATTTCTTCTGTTTTGTTGAACCACTATGTATCTTTAAAGAGTATTTCTTTCATTTTCTTGTTGTCTGTAATACTTGAATTGATAAATAATTTGTTTACTCATACTTATGATTGATTTGAGACAGATAGTTTTTTCCATGCTTAACAAATACTTATAAATGTTTTATTTTCTATCATAACTATGTAGAGATATAAAACTTTAGGTTTTCTTAGTCTGCTAGTATTATTTCTGCATGAATTGATTTAAGGTCTACAGGATGTCCCTATAATGCAGAATTAGTGAGAAAGTGATAGATAAACCCTGAGTGTTTTTAGAAGATATGTAAATTCACATCTGTTATCTGCACATATCAGCTGGACTGATCCCAAACGAGAACCGAAGCTGAAAGGTCCTAGAGTAAGACAATGATCCAATTTAAATTTGGTTTGCTGTAGCTCTTTTCAGTTGTAAAAAAAAAAAATCTCAAATGGGAATAACTGATTTAAAGACTGACAGAATCTTTACCAGGCTGTAAACATGTCAGCATAAATTTTACATTAGCACCTCTGTTTTCTAGATAGGTTTCCTGGTGTTATCTCTGGTTAGAATAGAGGCACTGCTAACAGTACTGGGGAACATTTGGGCCTTTGTTGAATTCCCCATTGCCCATCTGCTGTTCTTCAGTTTTCAAAGAATGAAGGGCATAAATAGCATGACAAATCATTGACTTTCTGCTTTATCACTGTAAAAGGGAAATGAACAGGGTCAGAATGATGTCATATCAGGCTCACCTGAGTTTCATTTCTGAACAAAAGTAGATAATAGGCATTAGCAAAACCTTCCAAGCTTTTGGCCATTGTATTTTATATCTCTGACTGCTAGACAGTTTGTTTTTGCATCCTGCTTTCAAACAGACGTTGACCTTCCCCCAAACAATATTTCTACTCAACTGCAAAAACACTTGGAGGAAAAATCTTAAATCTCACTTTAGGCTTTGTGTGAGAATGGATTTGGATTTTGTAAGCTTTCCTTGGAAGGGTCCTAACAATATAAAAGGAGTCAGGAAAGCATTGCTAGAATATAATGACTGTTTCTATAATATTGTGTTTGTACTTAGAAATCAGAAGTACTTTAAAATATTGTCTTCCGAATTTAACTACCTGGAGACATTTATTTCAAGAAGTTTTCAGGTATCATCATCTCACTTCAGTTTGTTTGCCAACACGGATTGAAACTGTATTAGGTGAGGGTGGGGTAAGGGTGTGCCCAGTAATGCTGTTTATAGAAGGAAATAACTGATTTGGCCTTAAATTTACTATACTTTTATTTCATAATTCACATATGTTTCAGGACCAAGGATCAGCACAGATTATGTTTGTGTCTCAAGCGTGTCAGGATACCAATTGTCAGGTCTCATTGGGATAGTGAGTTGTCATTCGGTAGTGCTGTACAGAGCCACATGGAACTGATAGGCTGTGGAACAGGCTTATCTTGGATGAAAAGTCACTTCATTGCTGTAAAACACACTGCTTTCCTTCAAATTTTTTTATTGTTGTAAAGAAAAGTGAATACATAATGCTAAGTGCAAAATATATTTTCCAAATTCTTTTCAGCAAAGTCATACTGTGATGTTATTGGTATTTTCTAAATTGATGTTTGGTTTTCACATAAAATTTCACAGGGATGAGCTAAAAAAGTTCTTGTGCTGCAGTGTTGTTATTGGCATGATTTCAAAGTTACTTGCAACTCCAGGAATATTGGGTGTGCTCTTGTTTGTTAGTTTCAGCATGGTTTGGGACAGTTGAGCATCCCTGCCTGTCATGTTCATGGTCCACAGCCTTTGCCTGAGAGGGAGAGCTGCTGGCCTGGTGAGGAGGGATAGCTTCTGGAGCCTGGCAGGTAGACATCCAGCACATGTATCCACAGCACGCTTCTTCCAAAAGCTGGAATGGAAAACTGGCATCTAGGATTGGCGTCTTGGCCTAGCTTTGGTACAAAAGGAGCATGGAGTTGTTGAGCCATTTTGAGATTTGGATCCTTCTAGGCTTTATGGGCTTTCCAATTTCTGTATGGAAAATCCAGATTCTTGCTGGGTTACGTTTTTTGGATGTAAGATGCTCTTTGGATTTGTCCAAAAAGGGATTTATGAAAACTCATGCTATAGGTAGCAGGTCTGGGAGGAGAGCATATAGAAATTTGTGTATTTGATCTTCCACAGAGTACTGCCTAAAGTGTTGAAGCTTTTATCTGGCAGTAAAGCATTTCATTATAATCATGTTTTATTCCACTGACATGTTAATTTACACTCTGCTTTCTACCCAGATAATTAAAATGTCAGGCAGAGTTCCTAATATCACTTGTGATCCAGGTTCATGGGGGAAAACAAAGGCAATAGAATTCTGTGAAATGAATATCCCCAGCCTTTTTCATCCCAATTGTGTGAAATACTGTCTAACTAAGCACACAGATTAAAGCAGGCTTAAATGCTGAATTGTTCCTGTCAAAAATAGGATATGTGCCTTGTGCAAGAAGACAAAATATTTACTTACGATTTGCTTTGTAATTGCTGAACTAATCCTGTAATAGTTTCACTGTTGTCTAGGGAACAGGGAAATCAATATGTGAGTTGTTAAAGTAAGGACTGTTAGTTATTTTTTAAGCATGCTGAGTTTCTGAAAAGGGAGTTGGTGAAGAGTAGCTAATGTGCTAAATTCACACGATGGTTTAATGCTCAGTCATCTGTGTACAGATAATCCTGTGTTACTGTCTCTGAGAAACTTATGTCCATTTGTCTGGTTTTGTGTTCTTTATGCTGAATCATTTGGATAGTGATGCTCTTAAAATTACCAAAATGTGAACATGCATACGTGTATCTTGGTGATTAGTTAGTTGCATGCAAAATTACATATTACTGTTTACTCTTTCATAGGCATTTTAACCATTTGTAGATGATCTTTTCCTCATTTTTTTGCCCACTATATCATAAATGCTGTCTGTGCTTGAGACAACAAATTTTCATGTGCTGGTTTGGTTTTGCGTGGCATGAGCAGAGCGCACCGGGATGACTGTGCAGGCGCCAGGGCGGTCATAGGTGTGCAGGGCATCGCTGTGTCTAAGCTTTACTTAAAGCGAGTGGCCACCTGTATTTCTAAGGTACAGGGATGTTACACTTTCTATCAATCCTGGAGGGAATGTAATGAAAGTATTTTAAAATGTGAGCATGCTGTAAACATGTGGACAGTGAAAGCCTGAGTTCCAAGCCTGAGCTCCTTGCACTGTTTTAGGAATCAATGCCGAAACGTCCAGATATTCCAGTAACGGTTTTTCTCGTGAAGTGTCCAAGCCAGACGTGTCAAGATGAGGGAGGCCCCGCTGCAGCCCTGAAGCCGCATGGGCAGCTCTTTGTGCCGCTGCTCGCCTGCCCTGGTGCAGCTTCACGTGTACAGCTACGCGTCAGGGCAGGCAGAGCTGCAGCTGTGACAAATCCTGGTGCGT